CACACAACTGGAGGTCTTACAGCTTTAAATCTAGAATGTTATTCCATAAATAATGGAAAGTAGACTTTTTGTGCGTGTTTGTGGCATCAGTGTGAAATGTGTGTGTATGTCAAAGGGCACAACTTTCAGCAGATGCTGTAATATCAAATAAGTAGAGCCATTTTACTAAAGACATCTGAGTTAGATCATGTGGGAGCAATCTGTTCGTTTACGGGAGAGAAGCTGAACCCTGGCCAGTGTCCCATTCTATGGACAGACTATAGACAAAGAAATGACCTCCTTATATTTCATTTATAAGCTAAATATTCGGAGTTTAAAGTCATCAACACTGGGGAGAGATAATCTGATATTGTAATTGAATTATGTAAATTGTATTATTTCAAAGATACACTGACTAACATAAACATGAAGACCTTGCTAGGTGTGGCATATAAATAGCTCTCTGATATTTAAGTGTGACATGTGAGTCCAGCTGTGTGTCAGTCACAAGTCACAGGGGGAATGTGACACAACTTAATTTCTTTAACAAAATAATAGTGGCCAAAGGGGTGGAGACACTGAGCGTAGTGGTAGAAGGGACTTTCATGCGCATGCGTGATTTTTTGCTGACTCGCAACACTGTCGGGTGCATGTCTGGCTACCAGATAGCGAAATGGTGTAACATGTGTTCGTCACATTCTCATTTTGATCAAGATGACAGAACGATTGGAGCAGCAATACTGCATCAAGTTTTGTCAGAAATTTGGGGATACCCAAGAGGACACAATCTGCAAAATTCAGCAGCCTTTTGGTGATGATGCAATGGGGTCACTCAAATTAAAGAGTGGTTCAACCACTTTAAAGATGACTGTATGTCAGCGGACAGTGACCTGTGTTCTGGGAGACCGTCAATGAGCTGAAATGCTGATGTTATTGAAAAAGTGCGGACACTGATCAAGGAGGACCATCATTTGATCATCCGGGAAGTTGTTGATGAGGTTGGGATCAGCAGAGGTTCCGCAAACACAATTTTCACTGAGGATTTGGGCATGCGAAGAGTGGCGGCAAAATTTGTGCCCAGCTGCTTTCGCTGGAGTAGAAACAACTCTGCCTTGAGGTCGCACAGGACATGCTGGAGTGCACCAACAGGGATCCTGAGTTCCTGAAGACTGTGATCACTGGTGACAAGTCATGGGTATATGGATATGACCCAGAAATCATGGTCCAGGCATCACAATGGAAGCATCCAATATCCCCAAGGCCCAAAAAAGCACGAGAGGGTCGGAGCAATGTGAAGGTGATACTGTTTTTTTCGATTACCGGGGTGTTGTGCATCATGAGTACGCACCACTAGGCCAGACTGTCAATAAGGAGTACTACCAAGAAGCCCTCCGCCATCTTCGTGATGCAGTTTGGCGCAAGAGACTGGAGCTGTGGGATGCACACAACTGGCAGCTGCATCATGACAACACCTCAGCTCATTCATCACACCTGATCCAGGGTTTCCTGGCCAAGCACGGCATTCCGCAGGTTCGCCAGGCTCCCTACTCTTCTGACATGCCTCCTTGTGATTTCTGGCTGTTCCCGAGATTGAAGACACCACTAAAAGGCTCCTGTTTTGAGAGCCATAATAACATTATACAGAACATGACAGCACAGCTGCATGCCATTCCAAAAGAAGCCTTCCAGAATTGCTTCCAGCGATGGAAGGACCACTGGGCTAAGTGTCTGGGGTCACAAGGGGCTTACTTCGAAAGGGATTAGGTATTGTAACCACCCAGATACAGAACTTTGTTTTCCTGGCCCAAGGTCGGATACTTCTTGGACAGAGTAGTATATTATACATACTCATATATTATTCATTACAAACATATACGAGGGGGGACCCAAAAATAACCGGAAACGACCTGTTGCGCGCGCATGCTTTGTAGTTACGAGTTGTGCTGCTAGGTGGTGTTAGCTGGGGGTCTCCGCGACTGTTAGTGAGCTGGCGTCAGTCTGAGTTAAGTGGTTTGTCTGTGGTGCTCTGTTGTGTGCGTTCCTGTTTCAACCCTTTGGCGATTAGTGAGATGGCCGACCAGAAGGAACAAAGAGTGTGCATGAAATTGATGAAGATCGTCGAAAGACCATTGACCAACTTTCTGGGGAAACGAACATCTCATGGAGCACGGTCCAGCGAATTTGAACTGAAGGTTTGCACATGAGACGGGTGTCTGCAAAATTTGTTCCTCGCTTGCTCGGAGATGACCACAGAGAAAACCGCGTGAATGTTTGCCGCGACTTGAAGAGTGAAGTGCAGTTTTCCCTAACAGAAAGCAAAAAATTTCACACACACTATTTGTTCCTTCTGGTCGGCCATCTCACTAATCACCAAAGGGTTGAAACAGGAACACACACAACAGAGCACCACAGACAAACCACTTAACTCAGACTGACACCAGCTCACTAACAGTCGCGGAGACCCCCAGCTAACACCACCTAGCAGCACAACTCGTAACTACAAAGCATGCGCGCGCAACAGGTCGTTTCCGGTTATTTTTGGGTCCCCCTTCGTATGCACAAATATCCCTCAAGAGCAATCTCTGCAGCTGCAGTGTCTATAAAATTATGAAGCATGCATAATTTATTTTGTTTTCTTCTCACACAGATCTTTGTATTAATTCAGATCCCAGACTGGTATCACAATTCTTCAAATAAATAATGATAATTTAAAAATGCTAGAACAAAATACCATATAATCTTGATGACCAAGTCACTCCACAGTGCAAGATACATCTCAAGTTCATTGTTACTCACATCAATCAAGACATTTTCTGCTCCTATAGAATCATATGTTTTATTATTTTGTTCACAAAATCCAAAATCTTTATCCTATTCTGAGCTACATGAATTCAGTTCAGCCCATGCATTATATTTTCCTAAGATCCACTTCAATATTATCTATATACAGGTCTCCCATGTGGAGTCTTTCCTTCAGGTTTGCAGACCGATTTGCTGTGTACATTTTTCATTTATCCACATGTGCTACATGTTCCACCCATATATTATCCTTCTTGATTTAATCATCCTGACACTATCAGGTCAAGAGTATAGATTATAGATCTACTTATTATATAATCTTCGCCATTTACCTGATACTGTGTCCTTCTCAAATTAATATATTGTGACATAATGTTATATTTTAGCGTCCTGTTGCACTGATTTAAGTCCATGATTTATTTCAACCGTCTTCCAGTGCACACACTCATCTATCACCTCCTCTCTCTTGCACTACATGTTTCGGCACAAAAGTGCCATCTTCAGGTGCTTATTCGATTTACGTTAAACTAGTTCATTGCATGCCTTGTCTTCATATTAAAATAACTAAAATATATATTTATCATATATATTGATAAATGTTAAATGTTAAAAATATTAAAATTGTTCAGGATTTTTCATCCCTACGTCGTATCTCACTACGCGAGTCACACCTATCCTCTTCTGTCGGAGCACTCTTTCACTATTGTGTGTGTATCTGTAACGTGAATTTGTTATTCATTAATACCGCGTTCCGTATTTTATTTATTTATTTATTTATTTTATTTTATTTATTAGAATTTNATTAAAAATTATAATACCACAAGTAATAAATAAAATACGGAACACGGTATTAATGAATAACAAATTCACGTTACAGATACACACACAATAGTGAAAGAGTGCTCCGACAGAAGAGGATAGGTGTGACTCGCGTAGTGAGATACGATGTAGGGATGAAAAATCCTGAACAATTTTAATATTTTTAACATTTAACATTTATCAATATATATGATAAATATATATTTTAGTTATTTTAATATGAAGACAACAAGGCATGCAATGAACTAGTTTAACGTAAATCAAATAAGCACCTGAAGATGGCACTTTTGTGCCGAAACATGTAGTGCAAGAGAGAGGAGGAGATAGATGAGTGTGTGCACTGGAAGACGGTTGAAATAAATCATGGATATTGTGACATGTCTTACTGTTGCTGGGCAACAGGAGGTGGAACGAGTTACCACGAAGACAGACCCTTGATGAACGATCAGTTGCAAAGTTGCACAACAGTGGAAACGAGGTTACGCAACAATAAGGAAAGCGGTGTTTCTCTGTGCCATGCTGAGCAGAGCCAAGCCGAAGCGCGCTGGTTGCTACGCAGCAATAAATAACTCTCAGCAGCGTTGCCCAGCAACGCCTGTAAACACGGCGTTTATGCAACAGTGAAGCAATGTGGATTTTCTGCTGTCCGACTGAGGCTTTATAAAGGAGACTGGAATGCATGAGAGAGTTGAAATGTAGCAGTCGGCAAGGTCAGTTGAAATGTAGCAGTCACTGAGGGCAGTTGAAGCAAGTGAATTGTGAATGTGAAGACATTATAAGTATAGCAGCCATGGAAGAAGAAGAACCGAACGCATAATAAGAAGAGTTTATGTGTGATAATCAGTGATAGTTTGTGATAACTGAGAAGGCATTGGGAGTGTGTAATTAAGTGACACTTGTATAGCTCCCGCGTTATAAATATGTGAAGACTACTGAAGAGACTACTGTGTAGGGTTTGTAAATTGTCTGAACCCGCAAGAGTATTATAAGTATTTGTAGTTATGACTTGTAGGTTGTTAAATAAACCAATTAACAATCTGAACAGCGTCTTCAGTGGCAAAACAAGTTACAATATTTTAAAGGGAACAGTTCTCAAACACCCTAAATCATTGTTCTCCCCTTAGACTGAAAGTCAGTTATTTGCAGGTAAGAACCTGCAAACATGACAGGAAAAAAAAACCTGAAATGACCAGTAGCAAGCATCTCCAAAATTTTTAACTTGTTCTCAGTTCCAATATGAATATCATTTTGGCTTATTACTGTTATTCCCAGGTACTTTAATTTTGCCCCATTTCTGAATGATCTATGGGATCAATTTTTATATTTGGCCTCAAAAAAATCACAGCCTGAAGAAAGGTCAGTGGTTGTTACATCTACACAGAGAAAACTGAATCATGTCCTACCTGTTACCCCAGTCTATCTTAGAAGTGATCTTCAGTTTTAGCTCCCGCATTTGGTCCTGGGTTAGCGTCCCAGTCAGGAGCTGGCGCCTCCAGTCCAGTAGTTCACGCATGACTTTACGTAATGTACAGAATTTGTAGGTCTCCCGATCCTAAAAAATGGTTACACGATATTTGTTTCAGTATATCAAAAAAAGAACTTATGTAATAAACATAAATAACAATATGTATATACATACATGCAGCTTTAGGTCCCTTTATACAGAGAACTGTGAAATACATGCTAATTACCCAAAAACAATTATGATTATAAGTCTGGATAAAGCTTAAACCCTTATTGACTTAAATTTCTTTTGGCATGCAATAGTAGTTCAGTCCAAATTAATGTCAATGTTTTCTTTCTCACACATGTAATAACAAGAGAAAGTATTACAATGGTGTAAAAAATTTATGTTGAGATTTTGATAGACTTGCATGTTTTCAGAGCCCATGAACATGGAAACATAGTATACGAGTATATATATGAGAAAGGATTGTGATGGTGAAAAAATCAATCTTTACATTCTTATGGATTTATAAATTTCTGCCCCAACCCCCAACCCAGAATATAAAAAAGTGTGTTTTGGAATGCAATCTCTCTGTAAGCATGTGCCTCTTGCTAGTGCCTGAACAATCGGAAAAATTGTACTCACATTCAGTATTTAAGAGTTTATTCATTATAGGTTGGTGTCCAATGTGAATATGAACATTTTTGGGGCTTGAACAGTTTTGATTAAATTTCAGTAATTTATGAAGACCATCACCCTAAATAAATCCTGATAGGTGGGTCTTGAAGGAAAATAATGGTACATGCATTACGGACCCAAAGCTTATGCAGCACATACATGTCCAAGTTTGTATAATCAGTGACCAACAATGGTCTACCCAACAAAAATCATGTATTTTTCCAATGCAATGTAATCAAGGTAAATCATATATAAGAAAGTGTGTGGAATGTCTTGGCACAAATTTTATTCTTTCTTGAAAAATTCCATTTCATAATTTGCTTGGTCACGTTTAATTTATTTTGAGTATGAAAATTTCCATTGGTCAGTGGAGGTTGCCCATGGAACAAACCTCTAAATGTCTGAAATGCCGTATTGGAACAGCATGTTATATTCTGTATTAATAGTATATGATGGGCCATCTACAAAACTACTTGTATGTATAGAAATTACCTGACTATATACAGTACCTAAATGTAGTGGTAACTGCTATTACTGTACAATGGTCAAGGTTTACAGATGTTCTGTAAAATGATATATATTAAATTACTGGTAAGAATGATGTTGAAAATAGTACAAAATTGTTATTGCTCTACTGTCTTAGTTCTTTGTTAAAATCTGTTAAATTTCAAGCTGATGTACTGTCTTAGTGACTCCAAGGCTGAGTAACCGCAGCTTGTCAGTGAAGGTGGTGCCAACTTTAGCAGATAGAGGGTGTCACGTGGTCAGCGCAACGGATTCCCACAGCTGTTAATCTCGGTTTCCTAGACCAGAGCCACTAATTTTCAATTCCAGTGGCTCACGAGGCTGAGCGAACCCTGTTCCAGACCCGCTACTTCTCAGAAAATCTGGTAGCCCCGGGAATCGACCTCTGGATCTCTAGCCAGGAACTCTGACCACTAGACCATAGAGGCGGTCGTACTGTCTTAGTTCAGAGTTAAAAATCTGTTAAATTATTAATTGCTGTTATTTTAAAAGACAGTACAGCAATAACAACTTCACCATACTACTTTAAACATCAGTCTTACCAATAATTTAATATATGTCATTTTATAAAATATCAGTAAACAGTGGCCAATGTACAACAGTTGTGATAAATTAATGTAAATGTAGCCTGATGTTGCTGTACTGTCAAAACATATCACTACAATATGTATTTTAATTTATATACAGTTACATACACAGCCTGACCCACATACTCCTTAATGTTTCAGAATTACTGGGTTTTCGGAAGTTGTCCATCGTTCGGTATTCTAAAAACTAGAAAATACAACGTTTCTGAAACATCATGTTTTCCAGTTTTTAGAATAACGGATGATGGACAAAGACCGTAAACCCAGCAATTCTGAGTGTTATACACCATCGTCAGAACCCTTCAGATTCTTCCTAGATGTCTGTATTACAGTTCACAGCTGACAGGAATCCACGAAATTAAAGCAAAATTCATAATGGGGCACAGTGCCAAGCCTACCTTGACAACAGACAAGAAGAGGTTAAGCTTTTGGTATCATAATACTTGATTTCAGCAATTTCTGCAATACTTACCACAAACAACCTCTTCCAGATGTTGCCCCATTCTCGAAGAACTAATGTCACCTCTCGAACAACTGAATCCTCGATGGGAATCACTGACTCAAACAACCTGTACAAACAAATGTTCACAGTAGTCTAAAGAACTAAAACATGTACTGGGGGGGCTAATACTACAGAATAATTTGTGTTTTATAATCCCCCTTCCTTTTTGATTGTGAAATGTTGCTCTTACTCTCAGAGGAGACAATATATTATATGTAAGATTTGAGGCTTTCACGGCGGTGACTATGAAGAAAGCAGTCTTCTGGGATTTGGCACCGTGTATATGTGGTGTTAACCGACGTTTCGGAGGAACGTATCGCCTCCATCTTCAGGGTAGAAGAAAAAATATAAGAAATCTGCAAGCGAAGAGACCGTGAGAACCGGCAAAAGCAGACTGCTCAACGCGAGCACCCTTAGCAGGCCAAACTAACCCACCAAAACCCATAGGGCAACAAACAACGCAGGAGGGTAGTTTCCAAGTGTATAAGTGGTCAATAAATCCATCAACCAATACCCCATCTACAGTCACTCCAAAAATCGTGACAAGTTCTTCTCATTCTGTGCGCGATACTAACGAAATGTGGTGAGTACTTTGTGTAATCAACGATACCTGTTTAACAAAAATACTTTTTACTTCTATAGCACACTGTATATAGTTTTATGGCATAGAAAATTGAATAGTTTCTAATTCTTCAGCACCTAAAAATTGCTTCTCTAATAATCATATTATAACACCAACAGGAACGATACTTTCTGCATTAGGAACGTTCCATACCAGCTTCTGAAGAGGCAACTTAAATAAAAATTCGATGAAACAAAATACTTTCTCAATATATGCAAATATAAATTTACAAATAAATATGTAACTTACCCTTCATTATCAATCTTGCAGGGCTTCAAGTATATGTACGACGCTGGAAATATGCCCTGTAAAAAAAACAAGCGCTAATGATGTGTAACAATCTTAACTGAGAAGCAATTAAAAAAAAACTTTCGTGGTAGCACAGAAGCAACAGTAACCTACATTACACCACTTCATTCCTTGGCCTGTCACTGCCCACTAGTTCAGTAAATGAATGGATATGAATGCGCATACCTTGATTGAACGGTTTTTTGTAGAGAAACCTCGAAACCATCCTGAAAAAAGAAACAAAACTATAGTGCCCAAAATATTCTCACAACAGTGAAACGGATAATTTACAGCATAAAATAATCTTAATTATTTTTATTTTGTGGCAAATTATACGACACTCAAAGTTCCAGAGGAATTTTATTTCAAGTACTGTACAACAGATATAACTAACCTAACTGAGCAGAATTCTTTTTGAGAAGCTAACAGCCCATCATCTAGTCAAGATCTTCACCCACTTTCACGTAGCCCACAGGTTCATTACTCAGTTCCCAAGACTCTGCCAGATGAATCCAGTTCACGTCCTCAAATCCTATATTTTAAGAGCAATTTTAATATTATTCTCCTGTCTATACCTAAGCCTCACAGTTAAGTCTCTGCCCTTCAGGTTTCTGGACTAACATTTTTTATGCATTTCTTATCTCCCTTAGGAGCCGGGATAGCGTAGTCGGTATAGCGACTGGCTACGGGCTCGAAGACCGAGGGGTTGGAGTTCGAGTCCCAGTAGGGTCAAGAATTTTTTCTTCTCCATGTCGTTCTGGGGTCCTATCCAATGGGTAACGGGGACTCATTCCCCGGGGGTAAAGCGGCCGGGGCGTGAAACTGACCACTCACCTCCAGCTAGTTCCAGCGTCAAGAAAAATGTGAATCTGTACATCCACTCTTCCATGCGCCTTCATGGCGTAGTGCTTAATCAGTTAAGCACAGGGACAGCTTTACCTTTACCTGTCATCCAGACAAATGACAACATTCAAAGAAAACATTACCTAGACAACAGTAAACGACTGTCACGAAACCCTAACTCCAAGGGTTATGATGTATATAAGCGCACCTGTCTCTCTACAATGAACCAACTTTATGAAACAGATTCTGCTTGAGAAGTTAACGGTTACTCAACCGGTCAGGAAATTCCCTACTGTAAGAAGAAGAAAAAAGTTCACTATCTCATTCACAAAAACCCAGCACTGAACCATCTCCTGACCCACTTTAGTCTAGATTTTCATTTCACATTATCTGAAAAGTCATTTAAATATTTACGAGGGGTACCCAAAAGAAACCGAACTTGATTTTTTTTTAAACTTATTTATTGAAATTTTAAGCACAAACCTTCAATCCCCATCAAAGTACTCTCCACTTACACTAATACACTTGTGTAGTCTTTTATTCCATTTTTCAAAACATTGTGTAAATTCATCTTTTGAGATGCTTGACAGCGCCTCCGTCGTTTTTTCCTTTCATGTCTCTTTTCATTCGAGAAAACAAAAAAAGTCGCACGGGGCAAGGTCGGGTGAGGAACAGGGGTCATATCATTTTTGGTCAAGAATTGTACAGACAGGGCTGTGTGAGCAGGGGCATTGTCATGACGGAAAAACCAGTCACCCGACTGCCACAAATCTGGCCGCTGAGCTCCAAGTCTCTCCCGACAGCTCCACAATTTCTTCAATGGTCCGTCGTCGATCTTCCTTGATGATTTCACGAATTTTTTCAACATTTTCATGTGTTCAGACCGTGGAAGGACGACCAGAACGAGGTTTGTCATCAATTGACATTTCACCATTTTTGAAACGGGAAAACCACTCAAACACTTGAGTTTTCTCCATAGCATCGTCCTTGTACGCCGTTTTTAACATTTCAAGAGTCTCTGTTCCACGTTTCCCGAGCAAAAAGCAGAATTTCACCTCGCACGCTGTTCACGAAAATCAGCCATTGCAAAAACGACGATCACACAAAACAGCTGTCACTATAAACTCTGCCGAAACTAGTCCTTACTTTCTGAAGCAACGGTAGTCGGCTTATCGACTCAGGAATGTTAACTCCATGCGCTCATAACGGCAAAACGCGGTACTACAAAAGCTCTCCCCACAAAAAAATTAGTTCGGTTTCTTTTGGGTACCCCATCGTATTAAACCCACGCTCTGAAGGTTCCTGAACTAAATTTTGTATGAATGTTTACGCAAATGCATAGTCCACGTTCAGCTCATTTCAATCTGCATGATCTGACACATACACGTAAATTATGGGACTTTCTTCACGCTCCAGTATCTTCATCTCACTTAGAGCCCAACATTCTCCTCAGCCAGCATTCTCTCGAGGGGCGCGCAGCATTTCGGTGGACTCTACCAAGCTACATGACTGCAACAACCTCAAATCCTACACCATTTTTACTTATCGATCTAAAGTATTCAGGACATAAGGATAATAAGAATATTTTGTATTAATACTTGATATATTTCCTCCCTTTTTTCAATCCTGATTTCATTTCAAATAGAAGCTTCCCCTTCTCTTCCCGTCGGCGCCCATTCTTCTTAATCTCCATTCCTCCTTTTGGATACGGGTAAGAGATCGAGTTTCACACCCATACAAAACAGGTACTGGTACAGTTTCGATTGTAATGTTTAGGTTTTTCAAAGTGGCCGCGCCATAGCTCAAGCGGTTAGTCGCTGGCTTCCCACCGCGGCGGCACGGGTTCGATCCCGGGTCTGGTCAAGTGGGATTTGTGGTGGACAAAGTGGCGCTGGGGCAGGTTTCCTCCGAGTACTTCGGTTTCCCCTGCCAATCTTCATCCCACCAATTCCTCCACAATCACCCTCACCTATCATCTGGGGCTGGTACAATAGGCCAGAAGTGGCCGCAGTACAAGGGACTTAGTCCCACCCCACTAGCATTAAAAAATAGGGTTTTAAAAACTGCATGAGAAGATGGATTCTGAACTGAATGGTATTCTGCTCTTATTTTCATCATAAAGCAAAATGTCTACTCTATAGAGCAAACTTTTTTAACCCACAGTGTGTCCCAGTAACATGCCACTGAAACCAACAAACCACTGTCCAGAATATGTACATATTTATGCTGGGATTTGTGGTTATTACGGCAGTGACTTCTGGGTTGCAACACGGCGTAGGTCAGAAAAGAACCCGGCCTATCGCCTTTATCTTCGGGGTCGAAGAGTAAGCAACCTCAGTTTGCCTCCACCTGATGATTTCTTGCTTGGTTTACTCCTCTACCATGATCATGGAGGCGGCATGTTTCTCCGAAACGTTGGGTTCTCTCCGTACACGGCATTACCGCCCATGTACACATACGTTCATAATTATGGGCACAACAGTTCACTGTAAAAAACGCATTTAAAAAAACCGGTTTCAGCTGTCAACAGGGAACTACCGTGATGACTGGCAGTTTCTTCGCATAGTCGGCATGCTTCGGATGTATTTTGTAGTAGTGCCACCAGATGGCATCAGATATGTTGAAAGTGCTGCCACTTGAACACACACACAACAACCTCACTGCTACATTCTTGCGATGTATTGACAACTCGCTACACTACTGAAACTCGCACGTACATACCGAGAATGGGGTCGGGAAGGATTATACATGAAGATACTTGTATGCTTTTCCTTTAGCTTGCAGCTTAGCATTACAACACGAAGTGGTATTGGTGGGGGGGTTAGGAATTACAGATTCACAAGAGTTCAATTTCACATAACCCAGAGGTGAAAGTTTCACTTTTCAACTGACTTTAGCTGGACAGGAGATCCCAGGTACCCATTTTATGGGACAAAAAGCGTCCATTGCGGGTTATTTTATTTTCGTGAAGGACCAAAATGCACCAAGTAAACGAATAACTCCATTCTTTTGGTGCACCCTTTCTCTGTACACCCTACCCTCCTAACCCAGTTTGAGACTGGTGAAGTTTTTATAATAAAGGAAAATGTGCCCGGCAGCTGAGATATTTGTCTACCGAATTTTTATGTCTGTTCTGAAGAAAACATGTGTATTTAATGAAGATGGAACGCCAGAAAATTCTATAATGAAGACCTCAATAAGTTTATTTGAAGTTCCCATAGCGATCACTACAAAGTTCCTTCTTCTGGGATCTAATGCCTTGCAATCCAACAGGCGCGAAACGATATTTGTGAATAACAAATCGTTTCCATCTTCAGGGTCGGAGAGTAAGACATGCAAAAAGCAGACGGCAAGAAGAGCAAACCGCGTGCGGAAACAGGTTTGGACTGCCTGCTGCCTGCTCCCTGCTCGTGTCAGTCTCTTGCCTGGCCCCTGAAGATGGAAGTGATGTTTCTCCAAAATGTTGACTTTCACAGGATACACGACGTTACATCACAGAGGGCACAACTGTGTCGCCACAGCTCATTGCTGTTCACCTGTCGAGGCGAAATGCCGCGTCCGAAGGGATCAATCCTCGTGACACTGCCGCCGCGAGAGGATCACACGGAAGGCGGAACGAATTCCTTATCCAGAACGTTACAATCATATGAAGCATCCTTAGGACTTTCGGTTGCACTGTCAAAGAGACACAGCACCAAATCCAACGGCCGCGTGGTCTAAGACTCGGATGGTGCTGTACGGCAAGAACATTTAAATGATGGGTTTGAATCTCGTTTAGTGTACGCCCGCGTCTTAAGTGCTGTGTTGTCCTGTGTGAGAAGAAACCTTGGGACAGCCGTATTATCTGTCAAGGAAATCACAAAGGATTCAATATCACTGGACTTCAGACGGAAACAGTGGAGGGGATGTTATATTTAGCAAGCAGAATTCCAGTAAACTGAAGATGAACAGAGCGGTGTTCCAACAGAACAAGAAAAGTGTAAACTGTACTTGAAGAACGGTATACAAATCGCCTGTTATGGATATAACTCAAGGCAGGGACAAGCAAACGCTTCCGCTTAAATGTTGATGGTAGCCAGACACCAGTTCTTAACAACTGACTTAAGTTGGCGCTGTTAATATCCCCATTTAAGATGCCTCTCAGGTTTATGAATAATTGTTTTGTCATGTTTATGAGCCCGGATAGCGCTGTCGGAATAACGATTGGTTACAGGCTGGACGATCAAGGAATCCGAGTTCGAGTCCCGGTAGAGTCATAAATTTTCTCTACTACAAGTTGTCCAGACGGGCTGTGGGGTCCACCCAACCTGCTATCCAATGGGTACTGGGGGCTCTTTCCCCGGAGGTAAAGCGGCCTGGGCGTGAACCCGACCTACAGCTAGTCCCGGCGTCAACAAAACGTACATGGTGCAATCCAAAAGTTCCAGAAATTTGAATTCTACGCGCGAATGGTTATGAGTACATCGAAATACCGCTAGGTGTCTCACCACACTCACCCTTCTTGGATCAGTGTGGCAAGCGGCGTCGAGTTGAGTGGCCGCATTCATTGTTGGTGAATGTATTTCCACTGTTGTGTTTCCGTGAGTTTGCGGTTTTGCGATGGAGGACCTGAGAGAGCAGCGTGTCTGTATAAAGTTTTGTTCTAAACTTAGGAAAACCGCTGCAGAAACGCATCAAATGTTGAAGCAAGCTTTTGGTGACAACAGTTTAGGCCAGACACAAACTTACGACTGATATAATCGTTTCAAAAATGGCCGAACATTGACTGATGACGACGATCGTTCGGGACGGCCGTCAACTGGCAAAACACCAGAAAATGTCGCGAAAGTTAGCGATCTGATTCTGCAAGATCGTAGACTGACCATCCTAGACCTCTGTAACACCTTGGGACTAAGTTATGGTACATGTCAACGAATTTTGTCAGAGGAACTGAACATGAGGAGGATTGCGGCGAAGTTTGTGCCACGACTGCTGCAAAATGAACAGAAGCAGCATCGCTTGGAAGTCTGCAGGGAACTTCGGCAACAGCTTCAATAGGATCCAAACTTTCTTTCGAAAGTTGTCCCTGGTGACGAAAGTTAGGTTTATGGCTACGACCCTGAAAGTAAGCAGCAATCGTCGCAACGGAAGAGCCATTCTTCACCTCGGCCAAGAAAAGCTCGACAAGTCAAGAGCAACATTAAGTCCATGTTGATCTGATTTTTTGATACTGACGGGATTGTTCATAAGGAGTTCGTCCCTCCTGGTCAGACAGTCAAAAAAGAGTTCTATCGCGATGTTCTAAAGCGTTTGAGGGAGGACATGGGGAGAAAACGTCCAGAGAAGTGGCGCACGAACGGCTGGGTACTCCACCATGACAACGCACCACATAAGGCTTACATTGTGCAGGAATTTTTGGCTAAAAACAAGATGGCAGTTGTTCCCCACCCACCGTACTCGCCAGACTTAGCTCCATGCGACTTCTTTCTCTTCCCCAAGATGAAAATCAAGTTGAAGGGGCGAAGATTGATACAGTTGAGGAAATTCAAGCGGAAACGCAGACGGTACTAAACACCCTAACAAAGAAAGACTTCCAGGATGCATTTGAAAAGTCAGAAACGCTGGGAGCGGTGTATGCGCTCCCAAGGGGACTACTTTGAAGGTGACGGTGCAGAATAAGATCCAGGTAAGATGTAATAGTTTTTATTAATATATTTCGGGAACTTTTGGACTGCACCACGTATATACATGTATCCACTCCCTATACGCCTTCATGGCACAGGGAAAACGTTACCTTTTTGCAATGCTTCTTTTTCATTTCCATGTTTTCATTAAAAAAATTCTGAGGGAACTTCCTAGCAGCGGGAGCAAACGGCTATGTGTTACGTGGTCAGAGGGCGCGTCTAAGATGACTGTACATTCAATTTCAGATGACTAGTACGGTCAGATTGTTTTATGAACACACTCACCCTAACCGCTGTTGTGGCCAACTCAAAATGCGGAATTTCGCTAAAGCAATCTATACCCAAGCGTATACGGAATGGTGTAGCGAGATAACCAACAGTTCCCCCCTTTCTTATTGCTAGTGGGGTGGGACTAAGTCCCTTGTACTGTGGCCACTTCTGGCCTATTGTACCAGCCCCAGATGATAGGTGAGGGTGATTGTGGAACAATTGGTGGAATGAATATTGGTAGGGGAAACCGAAGTACTCGGAGAAAACCTGCCCCAGCGCCACTTTGTCCACCACAAATCCCACTTGACCAGACCCGGGATCGAACCCGAGCCGCCGCGGTGGGAAGCCAGCGACTAACCGCTTGAGCTATGGCGCGACCCCAACAGTTCCTTACCCCTGCGACACGCGTAACGGAGTTCTAACCATACCAGACAAGCAAGTCATTGTGCATACGTCATGGAGTATAAGTTTTCCACAAGGACTATTAACATTTAGCTGACATCTTTTAGGCCTATTATTACAATCTAGAGTAATATTAACGCAACATTTAATCAAAGATTCAGGTGACAACATGCAACTTGAAGTCCAGGTTCATTTCATGAATATATTAACGAAAATCTCGCTTTCTAAATTAACTGTTATGAAATGTGTATTCAACGATTTTCTAAGCATTTTTACTCTGATCCAGGAAGATCAACAAGACGGCTATACGGCTTGGTATCTGAGGATCGAACGGGTTAACTAGCTCAACCCTTGCGGACGACACAGATGAATACTTGTCTCACACAATTTTGTTCATATCTCCGAAATGAAAAGTCATCAAAATGTCTCCAGATGATCTCAGAAAGAAACAAGCGGAAAGAGAATCTGGAGGCCGGACTTCGCTTCCCCTCTACGTGCTCGTAACCACGCAAATAAACAGGACTACCGTTTTATTAAAACGGACGTAAAATTTTCGTCCGAAGGAAGGAATGAACAAACGAAGGGGTGAAAAGACACAAAAAAGAGAAAAAAGGGGTACTAACTGCTTTCTCTAGGTTCCTATAACCCCCCCCCAAAGAAAAAACATAGTTAAGTACAAAAGGGTACAACTCAGTGGTCCGTATGTCAGTCGTTAATGCTGGAAAGACCACAGTCTCCGTGGGACCGGAGTTCTTTCTAGAAAGGCAGTGTTTCACTTATGCTCTGGGACTCACCCGCGCACTCCTCCAGGATCTGTACTGTGTCCCCGATCTCCAAGGGTAGGCCGTACCGAATCTCTCCCCGCCAGTTGTACAAGGCTGCAAGAAGCAAACAACGACGTGAAAATAAAGTACTTGTAGTTTATCAGATAAAATGTGACAGGTATTCATGCAATAAGATATCGGGTCACTGAAATAGATCGCCCATACTTCAAAGGATATTTCATTAATAAGAGATATACAACAAATTTTTAACGAGAAATAGTAAACCGAAATGCCGTGGACTCGAATGAAATGTTTAAACAATCAAATTATGGTGTAATAATAAAATCCGTGGCTTTTAGTCCGCAAGCGAACTATACCGACCGAGAGACCGCCGCTTGTCGGCGAAGTTAGTGACTACTTTTGCAGATAGAGGGTGTCGCGTGGTCAGCGCAACGGATTCCCACGGCCGTTAATCTCGGATTTCTAGACCGCAGGAGCTACTTTTCCATCCAAGTAGCTTCTCAATTATCGTCACGAGGCTGAGTGGACCCCGTTCCAGACCCAGTACTTCTCAGAAAATCTGGTAGCGCCGGAAATCGAACCCGGGACCTCTGGATGTGTAGCCAGCGGCTGTGATCACTAGACCAGAAGCGGTCTAATAATAAAAAGAAAGTAAGTAAAGCTATTCCTGTACCAGGCCTAGGGTCCCACATTATCTAGACAATCGGCTCAAAGATGGCGGTAAGGTTGTCAGCCTTACGCGCCGGCCGCGCTTTACTCCCCAGGAAAATTATTTAATTAATTCCTGGTACTCATTTCCGTTAGAGGCTGAGTGAACCCCAGGGCCATAGTGCGGCTGGAAGGATTAGGTTAACTGAAAAAAATCCAATGACCTCATCGGGATTTGAACCCGCGACCTTCCGGCTTGTAGCGTAGCACCTCAACCACTACGCTATATTAATAATAATCTGATTCCTTTCTTTGAGTGCTTGCCAACTGCAAGTAGCATGTAACAGTCGAGCACTATAAATGTATACAAAGCTAATGCTAGGCTAAAAACTACATTAATAATTAAGTACTACAATAGCACAGATAACCCGTCAATACATTAACAGAAACCATGTAATAAGTAAGATTAAAAATGGAAAAAGTATCTTCAATGGACACAGTGTGTTCACTGAAACTGTTCGGAACTCTGTACACGCTGTCTTCGGCTGTAGCACATCTTTACGAAGGACGAAGTCTTGAGACATTAATCATATTAGAAGCGGAAAAGAGTCCCTAATTTGCTCAGTGGACACACAGAGACCTACAATATTCAAACGGAATAGCGGTTGATTTTTCCCTACAAGACGTTAACAAGAAATAGCGTATCGGGATATCGCCTGTAATAAAGTATCTTGAAGAGTGAACAATTCAAAGCTGAATCGCAAATGCGATGAAAATTGGAGTGAATAAATCGACTGTGGCATAACTTTGCGGGCTTTCTTCACATAGCTTCCAGTTCGACAGTAATGGCAGTGACATTAACAAAAGCCTCCCAGACACAGAAGTACACACTCGCCACCCCCTGGCCCACATTCAGCCCCCGCAGTCTATACAAGTCACTTCCCCAACTCGACTACCTCGTACCGGAAGCAGCGATCACGTGCCACGATCTATCGATGTGTGTGGACGTCGTGCTAAGCACTTCGGCTTCCTGTTTAGAGATCTCAGCATCACCGGGTGTCTCACAAGCGTAGCTGACGAGATCAATGTACAAACTGACGCTACTGGAGTTGTCACTTTCATTCGGAAGCTGTACCTGCGTCTAACAATCGCATGGCGGCGAATAGGGCGAACACAGGTGAATCTTTTAAGTATTTAGACATAGGCAATTTATGAAGGGAGTGATCGTCAACCTCCGGCCACCTTTACTCAAGAAGAAACAGTAACCGTTGGACGGAAGAATGAGAGCACAAGCAGATAAAGAGAAAATGCTTTCCAGCCTGTAGCCAGCCCTTTCCTGATTAGGAAATCCCAGCTCCTAAAGATCAGGATTTAAATACAAGAAACCTGACTCATAACGAAATCCCAAAGGAACTGGAAATGTTCCCTTTCGGACCGGTAATTTTACACTGGTTCTAACTACACATTTTGGCAAATAACATTTCTCCCGATATACTGCCGTTAAATCCACGGAATCCATGCAGGTCCGAGGCTTCTTGAACATTTTCGAAACAAACTTATTTTTAGGAGCAGCTGTAAGCCCCACGCCCAACCCCCTAGCTGGATGACCGCCCCTTGTCGCCTGTCCGGACTGCTTATTCAATATATTCGCAGCTTCCCTCCATACTTGGAGGCCATCTCCTCCATCCGCAACCTGAGAACGCGCCATGCCGTGGTCACAAGGGACCACCCTAACATAAATAAATTCGGGGCAAAATCATGACATAAAGATAGGTAACAGATGCCTTGAAAATGTGGCATGAAAACCAGAAGGAAGGAGACCACTGGGAAGATCAAGGCGTAGGTGGGCGGACAATATTAAAATGGGTCTTAGTGAGATAAGATGGGATGGTATGGATTGGACTGATCTGGCTCAGGATAGGGACCAGTGGAGGGCTCTTGTGAACACGGTAATGAACCTTCGGGTTGCATAAAATGCTGGCAAGTTCTTGAGTGGCTGCACAATTGGCGGTTTCTCAAGAAGGGCTCAGCTCCATGAGTGATGTTGCCGTTAAGTACACAGCATATTGCATTTCGTAAGCACATCTGCACGTGCAACCGCCACAGTTCATATGTTCGTCCGCAGGAAACGATGGTAAAGGCAAGACAGTCCTCCTGAACAGACAACAACGGGAAACCCTTAATGCTGCCACGTACATGGGCCCGAGTCCCTGTTACTTCCTCTGCAAGTAATGCAATGGGATCGAGCTGGAGTGAAGTTTCGGAAATTACTTTAACAATTCTGATCACATTTCAGCAATTTATGGAGATGTGACATATTCAGGGAGTTCAAACATGAAACGACAATTTTCTCAAAGCCAGCTTCACCGATACTGATACAAACAGTAAGGTTCAGTACTTTAGTCCAGGCTAGTGGCGAGCTGAGATCCCTCAAGCGTATACGAAACGCCTAAACAATTGGTTACGCAATACATACGTGTATGCTACAGCTTGTATAATCAACGACTAGAAATGGTCTACTGAACAATACTCTATTTCGTTTCCAAGGTAACGCCGCCAGGGGCAACCGTATATGAGAAAGTATGTGTAGTTTTTTTTACTTTCTAACGGAAACATGAATATAAATCCACAGATTTCAAATCAATTGAATTTCTTTCGGAGCAGTTAAATAATGTGTACAAGAAGAAGAATTCTATCTTCTGGGATATTACGCCGTGTAGTTCGTTGCAAGGCAACCGATGTTTCAGGGGAAAATGTCGTCTCCATCTTCAGGGTCGAGGAATAAGCCAAGCAAGGAACCAGCTTCTGCTTGCCACCTGCTTCACGCTGGTTTCTTGCTAGGCTTATTCCTCGACCCTGAAGACGGTGGCAACATTTTCCTCCGAGATGCCGGTTGACTTTCAACGGACGGCGTCATATCTCAGAAGCTAGAATTCTTCATAACCACCGGTGTGAGAACGTCAGATCCTATAACGTGTATACTTTTGTCTCATATTACTAAGAAGGAAACAGGGATTACGAGTATTAAGCTTCTAAAATAAGTTAACTCGACTTCCTTATACATACATCCCTCAATGGCGTTTCAGTCGCGGTGTAAAATCCCAACACATAAGGAAAGCAAGAACACGCATCGCATTTTCTTGCACAAAATACTGCTCCAGATACGGTTTTCCAAATATCCGTAACAGAGTATCAGCTATAAGATACACTGTAAAGTACGTAAATTCATAAAGTAAAAAAGTAAAAGTATCCCAGTAACAGGCCGTGGAGGCCCATCGGGTTGTGAGATGTTGAGGTTCCCACATTTTCCAGACAATCGGCTCATAGATGGCGGCAAGGTTGTCAGCCCTACGCGCCGACTGCCCTTTACCCCCAAGAATATTCCTGGTACTCATTTCTGTTAGAGGCTGATTCGACCCCAGGGCCATAGTGCGGCTGCAACGATTAGGTCAATTGAAAAAATCCGACGACCTCATCGGGACTTGAACCCGGGACATTCCGGCTTGTAGCATAGTGCCTCAACGAACTACGCTACCGCGTGCCCCACGTAAATTCATATCCTAGTGAATTCTTACTTGCATTATAAATCATAATTCAATATGCAATGATTTTTCATTTTTAAAATACGTAAAATAAAGAGACAGGGCAAAGATACCGTTACATATTGAGTTTTCTAGACGACTTCCGTGAAACGCATTCAAGGTGGCTCGACTTGAAGGGAAAGCGTCCGACTCTTCCGCCCGAATGCGCGTTCGAAAACAACCTCGCTGTATAAACAAAGATTTGACGAATACATCTCAGCAATTCCATTACGAACGCACACGTTATGTAGTAAGATAAGTGAGAAGTCCCTAAAACATCGAATTTCGCTAAATGATTTGGGACCTACAGGCGTTACTGCAACTTGAACGACTCCGTCGTGACCTTGACGCTTCTCACGACGCGACTGCAACCCTGATTCAGCCGTGGACTGAGAACACCAGCATTACGCACATCTGAACTGCAAACAAGGGAACTGTGTTTCCTATTCTAGATACACTACTTCATATGTAAACATTTAGAGATTGGAAGGCCTTTACAGATGATGCAAACAGATCAGCGTTCTCCAAACTGAAAGGCACCATGACACACGCGACATGTACGTGGTACAGTCATTAAGTTCGTGGACTGTGGTTTTATCGCACCATGTTACAAGGTATTCACTTACACTTACACAGATCCACATCGGCTCTCAAAATAGTTGCTGTTGGCCGCTATACAAGTCTGCCAACGTTGATATAGCTGCCGAAAACACTGCTGAAACATATTGGCAGGAAATTCTCGTACGGCGTCTCTTGTGGCATTGACGACCTCCTCGGACGACTGAAATCTACGACCACGTAGCTTTGCTTTCACGCGGCGAAAGAGAAAGAAATCGCACGGTGCGAGATCAGGTGAGTACGGAG